GGGGGCAGCCTAGAGGAGTACCTGTGAACAGCAGCTGTGACTCAAAACAGACCTGGGAGAGCCCCCACTCTGCCCACATATCCCCGCTGTGGGGCTTTGAGCCAGTCATTTACGCTCTCCGGGCTTCACTTGCCTCATCTGTAAAGTGGGGAAAATATAGTTGCTACTTCATGGCATTACTGAGAGGTGCACATGAGAGCACAGAGGGAAGGTGCTTACTTAACTCAGTGGCCTCCATAGAGTAGATTTGCAGAGCACGCTGGCTTTGATATCACTAACATCTTTTTGTGGGATGAAACTTGCTGAGCCCCCCAGACCCTCTGAGATGAAAGGGCCCCGTGTTCAGTGAGTCTAGTCTCTAGCCCAGGGAAGGAATGAACCCCTTCACGGAGGGGACCTTTATCTCACATGTTCCTTCTCGGACAGGGGTCAGCAACCTTTTCCCGAAAGGACCAGATAACGGATATGTTCATTTTTTTCTGGCCGTGCATTTCTGTCGTGACTGCTGGGTCCTGCCGCCTTGTCACCGAAGCAGCCACAGAGAATGTTTATGCCAGTGAGCGGGGCTGTGTTCCAATAAAACAGTATTTACAACACCGATCCCGGAGAAAGTGACGGGATACAGCTAGAGCATTGCACAACTTGAAGGGGCCCCTATGGAGACACGTCGGAAGCCAGTGGAGGGGCCTGGGCTGATGTGACACCACTGCCCTCAGAAAGTGTGCCCCCTGCTCCAGAATCATCAGAACTCTGTGGGGCATGGGGATAAGGACGATTGCTCATTCATTCATTCCGCAGGTATTTATTGGGCGCCTACAGCATGCCTGTGCTGTATGGGACAAAGAAGATGGGTCAGGTGCCAGCCTCATGAAGTTACATTCTCATGATGAGCTTCACTCAGATTCACGTGACTGGGCTTCCATTAAATTCAGAAAGGCTTCCCAGGGCGCCTGGGTGGCTCAGTCAGTTGAGCGTATGACTTGGTTTTGGCTCAGGTCATGATCTCCCGGTTTAGTGAGCTCGAGCCCCACGTCTGGCTCTGTGCTGGCCGTGTGGAGCCTGCTTGGGATTCTCTCTCTCTCTCCCTCTCTCTCTCTGCCCTTCCCCCACTTGCATTGTCTCTGTCTCTCTCAATAAACTTAAAAACAAATCAATAAACTTAAAAAAAAATTTTTTTTTAATTCGTAAACCCTTCTCTAACCAGAGAAGAGAAGACATCTTGCAGGGAAGTGCTCCTGTTCCTTCCCGTCATTCCCCGAGGCCCCTGCCTGATCCATTAACTTCCGGGGGGGGGGCCCTCCTCTGGCGGAAAGGGAGCTGGGGAGCTGCCTTGTTAACTTGGCAGGGGGCCGGTGTACCTTTCCCCGTGCTGCACCAAGTCTCCCCGGTATGTTCACGTCCACCGTAAACTCGTGGGTACTGCCCACCCCCTTTTTCCTACTTAGGAGATACTAGGGTGTCCACCACCCCGCTGTGTTTATGAAAACAAACCAACATTTATGGAGCAGCTTCTGTGTTGCGGGTGCCTTTACACTCCTAAGCTCATATAGTCTTTATTACTGCCCCATAAGGTGATTTGACCCATTTTATCGTCAAAGAAAACCACACTCAGAGAGGTTCAATACATCGCCCAAGGTCACCCAGCTTGAGACAGAGCCAGGTTTG